ACACTAATGTAGCAATTAGGAACATGCAATGTATGTTATATTGGGTGTATGCGATTATACAGTAACTCCAATCATTTTACAGAAGGAAAAAACAATGTTGTTACTTCTGAGGTTGATTTAAAATCTTTGATTTAATTCATGAGAATGAGATTTTAATATCATGACTGATAATGGATTACTATATTTTGCAAAGCCTGGACATACATATGTTTTGACTACATAGAAGACAAAAGTTTTGATAGAATAAAACCTAGATTTGCAGATACATTTGATGTAGGAAACAATATATGTTTTTTGTAGTTTGTTTCATGTGACAAAATGGTGCCAGTGTTAGGACAAGATGGCTGCTATTGCTAAAGTATAGTGGAAAACAATATTTAGTTGTAACATCTGATATGTGATTAGGTTATACCTCCAGATTATTAAACAGTTTAAAGGGGGGTATGATTAATAAGGTATGATTAATAAAAAGTTTGGCGAATTTAAATGTTCAGAAAGATTTTAATATAAAGGAAATTTAAAGATTATACATCACATTGCATAAATGTAATGACCACTAGATGGTAGATCTCATGAGAAGAAATGAGAATGTTGTGTAGTCCATGTAATTCAATGTTAAACTGTGTAATAATAATGAGATATAAACATTGTAAGCCATTGTATTGATGCTGCACATGGTTTTTGTTTTAATGTAGTTAAAGCGTGACAGATCCTTGTGGCAATTAATCAGGAAAGCATTCCTTCAGACAACTGGACATCGACTGTTGGAAAGAGACTTTTCATCTGATCTGCAAACTGTGATGGAAGATTCTACAGAGTTCATTCGATTCAGAAGATTAACAGACTTACAAAGAAATAAAAGATTGACACTAACATACATATATATTCCTAAATATTAATGAAGAAGAAAACAGACAATGAAAAGTTATTTAACGGTTATGAGTATTAATACCAAGAGAGACTACTTATAACTATATAACACATGGAGTACAATTACGAAAAGATAGTATTATGAAAAGAACTATTATATTATTACCTATACATAGAATGAGAAGTATCAGAGGTAGATAAAATATGAAGTTGATAAAATAAGGATCATGGTTACTTAATACCACAAAGATTGAGTTTAATAGTATTTCATAGATTAATTATAATGAGTAATTTGTTTATATTGAGGTGAAGTAAAACAAACAATGGTAACATAAGGAAGAAAACTAAGGAAGGATAATTTATATTGATTAATATTACGTAATGGTATACATTAAGAATGCCTTGGATATAAGAGTTCAGAAATCCAAGAGGAATTGAATTGAATGGAAAGAGTATAGTACACAATTATATTTGACCTAAGTCTATAAAAGGTATGGACTAGGGAGAATAGGTTTCTGGATATGATGGTATCCAATGAATACATTGTTAAGTTGTTTATGATTACCCTGAGTTTGTTAGACACAGACTAGGAATAAGAGTTTCTGGGCAGTATGACCCCAAGTTTATTTTTGTTTTATTTTATTTTATTTTAGTCAGTTGAAGTGTACTAAGGAATACGGATTGATCAGAACATTAGGGCAATCCTGCTTTTAAGATGTATTACATTAATAAATCATCACAATGCTAATGAAGAGAGTGATGATAATGAATTTAAATTATTCTTTCCAAGTTCTTTTAAAGTAAACCATTCTCCGATTGAATGTAAAGTTTGTTACTACAAGGTGGAATTTTAGTCAAAATTATAATTATGTAAACAAAAACAAATCTATGATAGAAAGATTTCTGGGTGCAGAATTTCTAAGACAATAAGTATTGTCAACACCATGAACATTATTTGAAGAATTATTATAGAACGTCATGGTTGATAACACATCCTTTGAATGAGACTTATAAGTAGTGTTGATATATTTCAGGTAGTGAGAGCCTACTGAATATACAAATTAAATACTATGATTGTAAAGTACTGATACAATCATCACTAGGTGGTATTAATGGTATAGGAATGTAATTCATGAATACAAATGACCTAAAGATTTTAAGGTTGCTAGAAACCATATGATTCATGGAAATATAATTAGACGTATATTATAGTAATACATGTATTAGTACTCAAGTAATATCAGGTATTAAGAATGAAAATACTATGCTATATGTGTCTGTAGGAATATGATAGTGAAACACAGTTATTATTATTTAGAAAGTTACGATCTTGATTTTGTTGTCTACAAAGACATGATTGTACCTGAGCAGGTAGATCTTTCTGATTGCTTTATTGTTTATTGGATCAACATTTGTAAATATTTTATTCATTTATTATTGTTATATATGTATATATTATGTTCAAGTAGTTATGATGTAACATGGATATGGATATCAATACATAGCTGAAACAGAGGGAGTTTTGAAGTAAAGTAAGCAGTATGAGGGATAGAAACTCGACCTTCTAAGAACTCTCATATAATAGAAAGTTGTGACTTCATCTTGTTCTATGCTCAATGAATGTGATACAAGTGATGTATGAATGGACAGGTTAATTACATTGTGTTATGGTTTTAAAACAAACCATAAACAGAGGGAATGTAGAATATTGCATATTCTTTGTTTCTATTGATTATATATATGGATGTGTGGATTGACATAAGTAACAGATGGTATCAATAAGTCACAAGGCTTTCTTTGTCCGAGAGCTCTGGAATGTGGGTGTGGGGGTCTTGTCCTTATATGGCTAGAGTTATATGCTGACGTTAGTATTAGCACATCTATATAGTAACAGAGGGACACGAGGTCGCGCTCAGTCTCTGTCTTGGCTTGGCTCTGTACAACGATGTAACTCTCCCATCAGAAGTCCAGCAATTACCATCTGCTGTTGAATGTCCATAATCCTGTAATATCCTTTATGTTTTATTATGTATCCGTAACAAAGAATAAACCTGAAGAAACCGTAAGTCAGATTGCGTATTACTACTTTTCAATAATATAGACATATATTATTGTGGCAAGCATTTGGCCCAAGAATATATATACAAAAGACGTATATATATCAATCAACTGAAGATAAGAAGAAATTAAGAAAGATTCAACATTATCACCAATTCCATTCTCATCTAGTTTTTTACAAATAGGTTGAAGAGGACCCTGCTCAATCGAGCTTACATTCTATAGGAGGTGGGGTGTAAAACACTCTATAACAGTGAAAAAAGTTTTTTGTTTTTAAATGCAAGCTATTATGACACCAGTGAGTGGTGGCACTGGTCACCGTATCCACTGTTAGCGTAACACACCCGCTTTAAGGACACTGACTGCTATTCAATCTATAACAGTGAAAAAAGTTTTGTTTTTAAACGCAAGCTATTGTGACACCAGATATGAGTGAGTGGTGGCACTGGGCACCGTATCCACTGTGAGCTTAACACACCCGCTTTAAGGACACTGACTGCTATTCAATCTATAACAGTGAAAAAAGATTTTTGTTTTTAAATGCAAGCTATTGTGACACCAGTGAGTGGTGGCACTGGGCACCGTATCCACTGTGAGCTTAACACACCCACTTAAGGACACTGACTGCTATTCAATCTATAACAGTGAAAAAAGTTTTGTTTTTAAACGCAAGCTATTGTGACACCAGACATGAGTGAGTGGTGGCACTGACTGGGCAAATGGGCACCGTATCCACTGTGAGCCTGACACACCCGCTTTAAGGACATTGACTGCTATTCAATCTATAACTGTGAAAAAAGTTTTTTGTTTTTAAATGCGAGCTATTGTGACACCAGATATGAGTGGTGGCACTGACTGGGCAAATGGGCACCGTATCCACTGTGAGCCTGACACACCCGCTTTAAGGACACTGACTGCTATTCAATCTATAACAGTGAAAAAAGTTTTTTGTTTTTAAATGCAA